TTTATGAAAAAGGTTAAGTTATATGACTAAATATGTTAATTTTGTTACTTATTACATATAAGTTTTAATTAGTAAGTTTAATTAGTATTACAGTTTTATGTTCCTATTATAATTCTTAAGTAGAAAATATTTTTATTTCGTTAAAATGTCGTTAATTAAATAATATTTTGTAAATTATTCGTTTTTTTTATCTATATAGTGTCACAACTCCAAATTTTTTATTTATTTTTTTATTTTTTGATGATTCCAAATATACCATTTTGTAGAGCATTTAAAACCATTCTAATTTACTAAAACCAGTATTATGATAATTTTCTTAGTTTTTGAGTTATGCCCCAAAAAGTGAAATATTAAGCTAGAGGAATTTTCGAACGTATTTTTCTCGACTTTTTGTATTTCGGACTTATGACGATATTTGAGCGGACGTGCGACATATGGTATCGCGGATTTTTTTTTAGACGGAGTAAAGGTCTATATTTTTCTAGAACATTGTACAAGTATTTACATATCCCTGACGATAACACCAGCGTACGCGGATAAATCATTTCGGGAGTGCTTTTTCTTCTGACTTGCTTAACAAATATCCATATTTAAGGCTAGTTGAGTAATATAGCTTAATGCTAGATAGCCTATACTATTCCACATGAATCTGGCTGTAATATACTAAAAGAATTTTTCAAATCGGACTGGTAGTTCCAGAGATTAGAGCGTTTAAACAAACAAAAAAACTCTTCCGCTTTATTATATTATAATATATAATATAATATATAATATATAGTATATTATAGATGTATAATTTTATAAAGGTGTCCTTTATATTATTTTATAGGATAAAGGTGACAAACGAGTACACAGTTCACCTGATGGTAAGTGGATGCTGTGGCTCATACACATCTTACATTTATTCTCGATTAAGAATCAAAATGCAGATGCGTTGTCACTCTTATGGATTAAGTTGGAATGCCTTGTTCCGTGATGTTGTCATGTGATCATGTGGGTTGTTTAAGGTAAAGGTAAATTTGGCATATTAATCAATCATGCTAGTACACACATAATATTGCAAACTGCAAAGCTTCATTATAACTGAAAAGTGAATACACCAACTGTGCACAAGTTACGACAACTCAACATTTAAAAATACATTATCGTAAAACGTAGTGATTATATGCTTTGCAGTATGTATTGTTTGGAGACAAATCATATTTCACTTTCTACTTCCACTTGTTTTATCAATTGTTTAAATAATACAAATAACGCATAGAATGGCCTATAGATATAAATAAAACAAAGTTGACCAGTAATGACACAAATATTAGGCAATCGCATTCAAGTACGTATGTACTTTAAAATATATTTGTCTGGGTACATTTTCATTTAATTAATGACACTCACCGTTCGGACTGTGCGTTCGCCCCGATGACGTCATTCGCCTCCAAAAATAAGCTTTCGCCTTGATGGAACCACACGCCTTTCGAACCCTTCGCACAGAAAAACAACTTTTTTGCAACAGGTACTACAATTTCCACGTTTTTAGTCACCTTTTCTTCGAGAAATCGACCCCCACATTCCGCACCGCGCACCGCCGGCTCATAGGTTAACGACCACTCATCGAAATCCAACCCGTTCACATTCAAATTGTAAACACATTTCAATTCGGAACACGTTTTGTCATTAACTTCTACCGAAAATATCCATGGCGCGGACACCGCGTTCGTTTTTGTTATTAAAAATAACAATAGAAAAATACCACTAGTCCGTAATAAACGCACTGCCGCCATGACAACTGCCACTTGAATTGAATGAATTAACAATAGGGATATTCGATATACATCGATGCATCGAATTCACTCGATGTTTACAATACGATGCATCGAATCGATCCAATGTTTTGGAAAGTTATTGATATACTCGATGTATCGATGTATTTTCACAAAACATCGAATCAATGATAACCAATCAATTGTAAAAAGGTATACTTATTTAGCACTATTAATATTATAACTTCTAAATCAGAATAAACTAAAACATTCTCTGATTTAGAAGTTATAATATTTAAAGCTGTTGGTGGCGCTAGTTGGCAGCTGTCAGTCCCTTAGCGGAATCAAGAAATTGAGATTGGCTGATTGTGTATTAAAGAGAATCTAAAAAAAATCATCTGGTCTAGGTGGCTACTCACTTTCGTGCCGCAGGGGCAATCTAGGACGAACAGCGATCTTGGCAACATTTTCCGTGCTTGCCTTTGCAGTGTACGTTTCATAGGGGCCATTCTTGTAGAAAATAACAAAATATTTACATTTTTATACAATATAATACGAACAACGCTATTTTAAATCAGGCAATAAAAAATCAGGGGCAATATCAAAAATGTCTCTACACACATGCCTGCCGTTCTATGTGAGAGTGTACGTCTCGCTGGACACACGCGTTGAGAATGGCGCTAGTTTTATCAAAATATAAATGAATCTGTAAATATAGCCTTAGCTCTTTTTTATATAGAATACGAGTGACAAATGAGCACAGTCAACCTGATGTTAAGTGGATACTGTGGCCCATAGATACCCATATTTATTAATAAAACAACAAATTAATTAAAATATAACACGTGGTACAGCCATGCTGCAGCTATATTAGTAGTATAGTTGTAGCACGAATGGGTCGGCTGGACCGAGGAAGAACCACGCTCTCACAGAATACCAACGTAAAATAGCAGCTTAACACTGCTGTGTTTCGTATGGTGAGTGTAGAGAAACGGAGACCCTTTTTACTGGAAAAGAAGTATTACATCTGAGTCCTCACGGGTGACAACGCATCTGCATTTTGATTCTTTATTGAGGATAGATGTAGATGTATATGGGTCACAGCAACTACTTACCTTGTGTGCTCGTTTGTCACCTTATCCTGTAAAAAACCCATAACACAGTCCTTAAAAGCTGCAGTATGACTCTACCACGTTTAGAATCGTTACAACGTTTAAATAAGGTTCTTTCTGCGGTGCTACCGCAAAAAAAAAAAAGACAAAGAGATACTGGGTGAAGAAGCCGCGCTTAATACACTTCTATCACCAGTGTCCAAATTTCATATTTTTTTATTGGTATCCATTATGACGTGTACTGCGCGCGAAAGTCGCTAACGAACTGATTGAAATTGCCCCAATTGCGCTACACACGTGGTACCGGTAGCTATGATCTAGGGAGCAAGGAAGGTCTAGCACCCATGTCGCTCTGCCGCAGGGCTGAATTAGAAAATTGCCCCTGCTTTCATACTCACATCACAATTAAGGGTTATCCCCATTCTTACACCCTAGATTGCCCCTGCGGCAGGCAAGTAAGTAGCCTTTAGACCATTTAACCCAGTGGACTCATCTCGCATAATTATTCCCCTCTGCCAAGGTATTGGATTTAAAAGCTTGTGCGTTTATAAAAACTGTTTACGAAATCGAATTTATCATTACCAGAAACGTTGCCGCCGTAGTAGGTGCTCTTTACAAAATGCCGATCGGAGGGGTTAACGTGTACAAAAAGCAGTCGAAATGCTTAAAATTTACAAAAATATGCAGTTATTTTCCATATGTAAGTAATTTTATTGTGATGCATGCTTTTTTCTATTAAAATTATTTAAAATAATATAATACAATAAACATTGTATAAACAATAATATAATAAACAATAATATAATAAACATTGACCTACTACTAAATGCGCTCAAGTGTCCGAGTCATAAGAATTCTAAAATGCAAAAAGAGTTCCAATTGCGCGCCAGTCTTCGTTTTGTCGACCGATAATACACTCCAAAATACCGTATTGTATCACAAAACGAGCAAAACTATTCATATATATATATATATATATATATATATATATATATATATATATATATTCGATAAGGACTATTAATATTTAATAATTTAAAAGTAATATGTTGCTTAGATACAAGGTACGTAAATTCACATTAATAGTAAAAACAAAAAATCATACCGATAATTTTCGCTAGAAGCTACATAAAATGAAAACAGCTTCTGGTTGAAGTTGGAAGAGTACAAAGAGCGAAATTAATGCTTTGAGACATTCTCTATCAGGTGAGAATTTGATGTAGGTGTAGCAGTAGAATAAAAACAAAAAAACAATAAATAACTAAGATATATATAAATTTTACTAATATATAAATACATACAGACATAATATATACACATCAAAATACAAATATAAATAGTAAATATAATTGACTGAGAGAGAATGCCTTAAGGCATTAAGTCCGCCATATGTACGATTTTTCTTTTGTGCATAAAAGTTTAAAAAAACAAATAAATATAAATAACTATGAATATATACGTCTGTTAACAATAATATATTAGGTCTTAAGATTAAGATTCTTTATGGTTCGTGCAATAAAGAATATCTATCTAACTGTCTAACATCCTTGAACACACGCACACACACACAAGGCGTGCGGACAAAGACAGTGCCGATGTAAGAGTAGATCATTCAAAATTGTCGGTTGTTTGAATGGGGTAGCAGGAAGTTGACTACAGATTTATAATGTAAAGTCATAAAAAGTGCTCGATGTTGCAAAAACATCGATGTTTCTAATCGATGCACAATTTCGATGCATCACATCGAAAAAAAAACATCGATGTATTTTCAAAGTGGACACCCCTAATTAACAAGTGAATGAAATGAATGCAAGTTGAATGAGTAGAATGAAGGAGTTGACTCTGGAGGGAGGGTGTGGTCTAGATAAGTACCTCTTCTACAAGTTTTCATTCCTATATTCATTAATCATTATTTTAATATTAGGAATGTTCCAAGTGTCATCACTTTACTTAAATATTGAAATCAATACGTTGGTAATCACAATCAATTTAACCAATTCATTTTTACTCTTGTCAGCTTTCCTCCAATAAAATTACGACGCCTTACTTAGTTAACTATTTAATCACTATATTTGTTGCTTAATTATACTATCAAACTGTATATGAGAGTTTTTAACACACTATACTTTACTTTTACAAAGAAGACTATATTTTAATTTCACTTTGCTCACAATCTTTCGAATCACTAATTTCACAACAGACTTAACTATTACAACCTTATCAGAACGACTGTACGTATTCAACTGCCGGGCGTGTCAAGTGTAGGCGCTTTTATATTATGACTCGATTTTAGAATTAATGCAAGGTAGTTTGAAACGGATTCATATTCATATTAATTGTGAAGTTTGCTATGTAATATTGCATAATGATTATTTATCTAACACTTGACCAATCCTGACACTAGACGCGTCCCCGCGTAAAAATAGTACCAAAAGATATTAGGTTTTAAATTAACAATAATTACAATAAATTGAAATATGTATAGCAACAAATTACTATTTTTTTTTTTCACTTTTCTTTTAACTGTAATGAATGCCGTTGCACAGAACGGTCCACACCGATACCACTCAGTAACGGCTCACTTTTATATCTAATGAATGCCGTTGCACAGAACGGTCCACACCGATACAATTCAGTAACGGCTCACTTTCTTATATCTAATGAATGCCGTTGCACAGAACGGTCCACACTGATACCATTTGGCACCAGCTCACTCTTTAACTCTAAGAGATGCCGTTGCACAGAACGGTCCACACTGATACCATTCGGCACCAGCTCACTTTTTAACTAAGAGGTGCCGTTGCACAGAACGGTCCACACCGATACAATTCAGTAACGGCTCACTTTCTTATATCTAATGAATGCCGTTGCACAGAACGGTCCACACCGATACAATTCAGTAACGGCTCACTTTCTTATATCTAATGAATGCCGTTGCACAGAACGGTCCACACTGATACCATTCGGCACCAGCTCACTTTTTAACTAAGAGGTGCCGTTGCACAGAACGGTCCACACCGATACAATTCAGTAACGGCTCACTTTCTTACATTAACTAACTGCATATTGCTCACTATATTCATGCAGTATATATTACATTTTATTCTTAAAGGTTATCTACAATAGAAAGGAGTTATCATAATAATAATTGTTATGATGACTTAAATAATATCGAAAATAATATATAATAATCATATAAATTACTATTGTAATTTTCACACGTACGTATATTGAATTAACATTTTAATATATCTCTTCCTTTATATATCATTATACTAGAATAAATATGACTTAAATACAAACTAGAACTACATATGTTAAAAGGACAATAATTTAGAGCAATACACGGATTAATAGGTATTTTACTCCGAGTCACTGGAGATTGGATCATTTTGGAATACCAACCAAGGGTGTATTTTATCTACCGGGAAAACTCCGACGTATGCCGCTTTACCTTCCTTTTTAGTAATGGGGGTGTCTTGAACCTAATATCGATCATGACCCAGATTTTTTGTTATTCTGTACGGGCCGGAACATTTCGGAACCAACTTTCTGGCCTGGCCCGGTGCCGTATACACGTCTTTCTCTATACGAACAAGATCTCCTATTTTATATTCCGTAGCTTCCTTTCTCGTTTTATCATATCTGTCCTTTTGTTTCAGTTGTTCAGAAGAAATTCGTTGTTCAACGTCGTTGCGAATTTAATCTCGGTCTTGAAGTTGCTGAGATTCAGCAACCACACTGTTCATAACGCCATCGCAACTTCCCGTAGGAACCACCCCAAATAAAGTCTCAGCAGGAGTTTTCCCAGTGCCTTTGTTAATTGTGTTGTTTAAGGACCATTGCACTTTAAACAATACGGTATCCCATTCATTTTCAGAAGCAGAAGAAGAAGATTAGCAGAAGCGAGCGACTCTACGAGAGTTTTATTATATCGTTCAATTTGGCCGTTTGCTCGAGGTGTAGCGACAGCATTCAATATGTGTTTCATACCTTTCCCCACTACAAATTTGTTAAATTAATTACTAGTGAAGCTGGTACCGCGATCTGTAATTAACCGCCGCGGCACCCCGAATAATGCAAAGTATTCTTCAAAAATTTGGATACTCGTCTTACTTCTACAATCACGGACAGCCTTAAGATATATATATTTTGTAAAAGAATCAATGATTGCCAGTATATATTGATTCTTCTTTTTGCTTAATGGGAATGGCCCGCAATGATCTGCGTGTATGGTGTCAAATGGTTTGCTTACCTTTTCAATAGGATAAAGCATTCCTTCCCTTGGTCCGGCTGGAATTTTATTATGAGCACATTCTAGACAAGCCTTGCAATATTTTTTAGTAAACTTTCTCATATTTTTAAACCAGTAGATCCTTTTGATACGTTCGTATGTCTTTTCAAACCCAAAATGACCGTTATTGTCATGATTCATTTTTAGTATTTGCCATCTTACAGATTTAGGAACTACACAGAGTAACGTTACGGTATCGTTCTTTTTGACGATTCTATAAAGCTTGTCATTTTTTAATGTAAAGTTATTCTTAATTTCAACTACATGCTCACTTTCAGGATCTTGCAATATTTTTACTATACGCTGCAGTTCTGGATCTGACGACTGTACTGTTCCCAATCAAGCATCATTATTTACGAAGAGTACGTCAATTCTGTTTTCATTATTGTGCACAACAGTTCTAATAGGATTCCGGCTTAATGCGTCCACGTGAGCCATTTTATTACTAGGTCTATATTCGATTGTAAAATCGTATTCTTGCATAGATATCCACCATCTCGCAACACGTGGCACTAGATCTCGTTTATTCATAGTGTTCCGAATGGCGCTACAATCAGTTACTGCTTTGAAATTCGTGCCAAACAGATAAACACGAAATTTCTGCAATGCCGTGACTAGTGCGAGAGTTTCTAACTCATAAGAGTGAAACCTCTGTTCCTCAGGTGAAGTCTGACGACTATAATATGCTACTGGGTGTACCGCATCATTGTTCCACTGCATGAGAATTGCACCAATTCCCATTTTGCTGGCATCTGTGTGGACTTCCACAGGTGCTGTTGGGTCATACAGTGCCAGTAAGGGACTTACGAGTTTCTCTTTTAACTTATTAAACGCATCCCTTTCTTCTTCTCCAAAACGCCAGCTAACGTCCTTTTTCGTGAGGTTTGTCAGCGGTCTTGCAATCACTGAAAAATTCCTAACAAAGCGCCATTCCTAACCTCGTCATTTTTGGGTTCTGGGAAATTTGCCACGGCTTGAATTTTTAGGTTACCTGGTCGTATACCTTCCGACGATATTTCATAACCTAAATAATTTATTTGCGTTTGGAAAAATTGACATTTTTCAAACTTTAGAGTAAGTTTTGCATTACGCAGAAGTTGAAATACCTTCTCTAATTTTTCTGTGCCCTCTTTTATGGTTTTAGAAGCTATCAACAAATCATCCATGTAGGCGAGGGCCAGGCGTCCACCAGATCCCCGAAGCATTGTATTAATAGCTCTCTGAAACACACTTGGTGCGTTGGCCAGTCCAAACGGCATTCGGTTATATTCGAAAAGACCGTCAGGAGTGGCGAACGCAGTTAAGTGTTTGCTATCTTCAGCCATGGGGATCTGATAATAACCAGACGCTAAATCCAAGCTTGTGAAGTAGCTGTTACCTCCCAAACAATCCAATTGGTCTTCAATCCTCGGCAAGGGATATTTATCTTTTAAAGTTTTTCGGTTGAGCGCACGATAATCGATGCAAAGGCGTTTCTCACAGTTTTTCTTATTAACTAAAATCACTGGACTTGCGTAACATGAATTGCTTTCCCTTATTATACCGTGTCGTAATAGATCTTCTACAATAATTGTTAAATGCTCTCGTTCTTTGATCGACATCCGATAAGGATTATACACAACTGGAGTGTCATCATTGAGCTTAATGTTCATCTGAGTCAGATTAGTTTCACCTAATTCCGATAAATCGAGGGCAAAACAATCTCCATATTTAGAAAGAAGGACCTGGAACTCACTTAACTCCGAAACGCTCAATAAAGTTCCGATTTTAACTTTATCGATTGGTAGAGGCTCACGGCTATTGGCAATATCTGTTAAACCAATGTATTGGTCATATGTTTCATTGTGGACCCACCCTCTGGCTATAACGGTATTTTCTTTTATTGATGTCATATTTTTACTAATATTTGTAACCATTAGGTAGCCATGACCAGCAGTGAATTTGTATAAACCTGGAAGGATCATGAACTCATTATTTAAAATTAGTCGATGTCCACCCACAACAAATAAACCACCTGTATAATTCGGCTCAGTATGAACAGAAATTGGAGACGTAGTACAACTATTTATTAATGAATTTGTATTGGAACATATCCTATATTTGACCATTTCATTGCAACATTCCTGACCAGGGATACTAGTGAATATTAACTCACTGCTAGATTTGTACATTATTATGTTTGGTTTTTCAGTATAAGTGTGGCCTATGATAACCGGTACGTGCATGTAATGATCAGAGACTACTATCAGATCGACTTCCGCAGTCACTCCATCAATCTCAACCACAGCCTTTTTGAGTCCTAGAGCTTTAACGATGGAATTGCCAAAACCATGTAAATCAGGTAAATTAGACGGGACCTCCCATTCAGTCAGTATATTCTTAGCATCAGATTCCCGGATCAAAGAACAACTACTGCCTAAATCTATGTAGGAGAACCTTCTGACGCCATTAATCTTTATACTCTTATAAAACTTTTTATTTGCACAAGCATTTGGTTGATCAATACAAAGTACTTTTTTGTTCCTGTTTGATCCAATTGTTCAATTTGCTCACCTACCTCAGTTGAGGTACTGGAGCTAGAAGGTCGCTTGCGACAATCCCTAGTTATGTGGCCCAACCGATGGCAAAAACCACATTTTTAAGAGGCTTTGGACATTTGACGCTGATATGACCAGCATCACCACAATTAAAACAGCGTATGCCTTCAGAGCCTCTCATTTGTCAGTTGCATTTGTAACTTTACTAATCTGTGACTGTGGTGTTTTTGATAATTTTACCTTTTGCAAGTGGGTCGTGCTATGAGCAATTGTCCTCAAGTAAGAAAATAGTTTTTCGGGTTCTTCGAACATGCATGCACTTGCACCCATGCCCATATAAATTTATCATCAATACCGTGTATTATGCATCCAACAGCTTTTCTACCGGTAATTTCACATTTATTTAGTAAGGTAATT